AAAGTCACTTGGGTTGTCGAACTAAAAAAATTAGTAGTAAACAATATGAATTAAATAAATGTTTTAAAAACAACATTAATTTAGCAATATGGTATTGATTATAAAATACATATACCCTTTCATATTTTGATATTAATTCAGCAGCAGATATTTTCAGAAGGTTTCTTACTTCACGATCAAACATTGTAAGACTGACCACTCCAACTAAACCTTGAACTCGAACTTTGATCATGTAACTTAAAAAGAACATATATAAACATAAATTTGTAACATTAAAAATAAATTTAAAATCGAATTAGAATATATTAAGTTTTTATTTGTTACATACCTTGGTTCAGCAATAACATCTTTGCCTTTGCAATCTTTTTTTGGACAAAACATCATCTTTTTCTCTTCAAAGCGGTCCAAGTCATTGACCGCCTCATTTGGAACATCCATTAAAATAACCTTTGACTTGCATTTTGTACACGCATTATAGTACCAAGTCCGCATATCTTCAAACATCTTTATTGTTCCAAGAATTACCGCACAATTTCCCTATGATAGTAGGTGTATATGGGGTTGATTAATATTATAGTATTGGATTAATTAAATTAACAGGGGATGAATTATGTACCTCATTCAATTCGTGAATAGTCGATATTTTGTAAAAGGAGTTCTTTTGAAGAAAATCATCATGTAGTGAATACATGATTGATGATCCCGATGCACGTGAGACCGAAGAACACGAAGAGGTTTTTCTTGCTTGTAAACTATTTTTTTAGAATTTTAATAAATATTATATATCATAAATAAGAGTTAATAAAATATTGAGTTGAAATGACAAATCATTTGGAAAATTCATGAAACCTTTTTTTGAAAGCAGTTATCTCGACAATGTTGTCCTCAATAAAAAGCTTTGTAGCTAAGTAGGTGTTGTTGACATATGGACGCTCTGAAATGGATATTTTAATTTTTGTATGAATGTTAACAATTTCATAAAACCAAGATTTTGATAATAGAAATATTACAAATTAGTATCATGGTAATACGTACCTCGGATTTTCTTGAATTTAGCAAGTTGAATAATCATTACAAAATGACCATGATGCTTTGAAACATATGCAACAATTTCATCTGCATAACGTCCCCATAGAGTAACAAAAACTTCATGTCCTCTGTAAAAAGAAATAAAATTAAAAAACAAAGCATCATTACAATATTAAATATATTTATAAAGAATGAAACTCACTCTAAATCCTCCATTTTTAGTGTGATTTTCTGCTCCTGTTTGTCTTTTGGAGGTTCCAATGGAAAACATTGGAAAACGTTTCCTATAATATCTATATTATATAAAATGAAAAGTGTAAGGATGTATCTGTTATTGTGTAAAAATTAAAGTTAGATAAGTTAATCCATTAGCAAAGGCATTTTAGGAATACACTAACCAAATGACAAATTGGCTTGGATCGAATTAGAATGAAGTTGTTTGAAATCAATGAAAGCAAAGGAATTCCGGGGGCCACAAAAGTCTTTGCATTTAATAACCTTAGTGCTATACTGGAAATAGAGTTTATGTGGACCATCAACAAACTTTATAACACCATTATTTAACCCTATTGTGGGTTTTTGAATGTAGTAATCACCGTATTCTTCCAAATTATTTCCTTGTAGGTATGAAAATGGTTTATCCACATTACATTCAATTTTGGCGCCCTATAAATAGATGAAAAAAATATAATAATAAGTTATAGTATACATAAAAATAATTATAACTTAACATGTATAAAGTAATAATATTAAAACAAAAAACTAAAAAAATCCATAATACCCTTTCGTCCATCAATATCATTCCAATCATACGAATCTGTTTCCACAGACGAATGATTCGAACCTTGATCGTGTAGTCATCTTGTGCAAGTGTCAAGTCACTGATCATGGTAACGTTGGTGTTTTCCATTACGCTGTAAACCAAATGTAGTAACGAAGATAAGTTGTTATATAATAGAGAACTACTATAAATAATTGATAAAAATAATTTTAAAAAGCATGATGACTTATGATTATTCATAGTTTACCAAGGACAAGAAGGACAGTTCTGTTAACAAAGCTAATAAAAGGGTAATTACGTAAAATTGTATAGGATGACAGTGTGACTTTTTAAAATTAGTAAATTTATAGCTTACATATAAAATGACATAATTAGGAAATAAGATGCTATAGTATACATATAAATCTAATAAAATGGTAGATATGTAAATATCTGTTTTCTTTTGTTATGTTGGAAAAAAAAGGGCCACATAAAGCCTTGAACTAACACACACTGTACGTCTAAATTCGTAATATTAAGAATTTTGCAGTTTTTATATGCAACATTGTATGAGTTATTTTGACTTTTATTAGTTTCCATTAATGTAGTTACATTTCCCTTTCACATACAATATCATATGCAGGTCTAAAATGGACATTTATGCCCTTTCACATACAATATCATATAAACGAAGGTCCAAGGTGGCAGGACTTAGGGCCTGTTTTTCTCAATAGAATGGTCATAATAGAGATTATTGTTTTGTAGGCCCATATAACATTGACCTACATCTTTTGTGTAATGCCATATGTGATATAGTTTTTATAATTTGATGGAAGAGAAAAAACCAAAACAAAAAGGTATTTATACACGAAAATTCAACATTCTTTCTCCCTCATTTGCATACCGTAAATTTAATAAAATACCGTTGTGAAGATTTGCCAAAGACAATAAGGACAGTTCTGTTAATAAAGCTAATAAAAGGGAAATTACGTAAAATTGTAAAGGATGATACTGTGACTTATTAAAAATATTAAATTTATAGCTTACATATAATATGACATAATAAAAGGGTAATTAGGTAAATTTTAGTTTCCATTAATGTAGTTACATTTCCCTTTCAACATACAATATCATATGCAGGTCTAAAATGGACATTTATGCCCTTGATATTGTCTTTCACAGATTTTATACAAATTTATTTACAAAAAGGTCATAAATGGAAAGAATCATGAAGTCAATACCGTTGTACATATAAATCTAATAAAATGGTAGATATGTAAATATCTGTTTTGATTCTTAAAGCATGAAAATAATGTAAATATCAGTTTATTTTTTTCACGAGACTGTTTTTCTTCAAAAGATGTAGTAACCTCTACAGATGTAGTAAAGTGAACCATTCCTAGTTTAAGGGATACTGCAATTCTGCATATCATATATGCTTTTTAAAAAACCTCTTATCTGTTTGGATTCAATTATTGCCAGAAAAACATATATCCAACTGAAACTCTAAAATTAAAGCTTATAATATCTCTCAAGAAATTTAACTTTGATCATCTGTATTAATTTAGCATCTATATAAACTTGAACTAAAGCATTTGAAATTTTTTGAAAAATGGAAAAAGGAACAAAGAATATGTTAGAATCTTCAACAAATTACTCTATGAAAAGATTGATCAATTTCGAACAGATAATATAATTTGTTATCCGAACTTAACAGTACCCATTATTAATGTTGATAAAAAAAGTAGAGAAACAAAAAAATAATAACAATACTTAAGATAGGATCTTAAACAGATAAGTTTTTAACTTCGACAAAGGATCTAAATCCCATCCACTTTCAAAGATTCAAACAAAAAAATAAAAAAAAATGCAGGAAAAAGATAAAAATATATATATATATATATATATATATATATATATATATATATATATACACAAAATTTGCATTGATTCAACAATAAACTGCTTTGCAAACTAAGTTAATCATTAAACCATAATGATTTGCCAATGTTGTAAACATGTTTCTGTAGTCGATTTTGATAATGAAAAACTAAATGTTTGAAGAAAAACCATATGAATTCGAATTCAGCAAGTAAAAGTAAAATAAAAAAAAAATCTTTGAGACATTTTATCAAACAGCTTATATGCAGTGAAACATGAGTAAATATTTAGTACATAAATCTCTACAATTCGATATTATCATGGAAAGGAGAAGTTTAAAACATGAAATCTTCAAATATTCAAATAAAAAAGAATCAAATCATAATCCACAGAACACTAATTGTACCGATAATTAAATTTGCTAACCTGATGAAGATATTGTCGATAATGAACTGTGATGATGAACGTGGTGATGCTATAAATCTTCAATCTCTCAATAAAAGTCGACATATGAAGGAGATTGTAGCTGTATATATTTTTCAAAATCGAATTTGGAAAGGATATGAATATGAAGAATAGAATGAATTGAAATTTGTTAAGTTTCTGCAATTAAAAATCAATTTGGATGGTGATTTCCGAGAATTATGTATGTAATTTAGGAAGAGATATTTGGATTTAATGTGTTTTTTGACAAAACCGTGAGGGATATTCATGTTTCCTTTTTATTTGTATATAAGAAGATGCAGTGATGGTATACGTATTTTTAGTAGTATTAATTTATGATATTTTTAATTTAATAGAATAGCTAAAAATCCACAATTTGCCAAGTGGAAATAAACTTAATTGAAAAAATTATCAAAATGCCATGTGTCATATTGAATGAGAAGGTGACACATGGCAGAAAACCTTTATTTATTAAGGGAGATCCGATTGAAATACATTTTACTTGTGTAATGGGAACCTAGAAAAAATTTTAGTGACATAATGAATACAATAATACGGAATTAATCGAATGACCAATCTTCTCAATTTTGAAGTCCGAACCCTTCTCTTCATGTAACTAGGTGTGCCAGTTGGCGCAATATGAAATTGAGTTGTCTTTTGAAATCAACCATTGAATGTTTTAATGCCAAACTTAATGAATAGAAATCTAGAACATTATCATTTCCGGGTTCGAATGACCTTGGTCCAATCAGTACATAGAAGTTTGCGTCCATATCACTTTTCCATATTTATATCTCCCAAAAAAATCATTGAGATGTTGCAAATTGTTAGATGAAAATTCATTAGGGGAGGGCATGTAGATAAAAAGAAAGAGAAATTAAATATCCTCTTATATCTTAGTTCTACTTATAATGATGACAAGTGGATTAAATGATTATTAATTTCATTAAATGTCTAATTAAATGTGACATATGTCAACATTTGATATAGTAGGATGATAAGTAGGCATAAACTGTAGGAGGATATTTAATTTCTCAAAAAGAAAATACGATGGGTTGTTCGCAAAAAGTGACATTACAAATGTCTCGGTGGCTTTGGAATCTTTCCTTCGCACCTGTAATTTAGTTTTGCATTCTAAATGATTGTGGAGGATTAAAATATATTCTAATGGCTTATTGTCTAAAGTATACGGGCGATCCACAATCATTACAGGCCCGACAATTACGTCATGGGAAAAAAACAATCAAAGGGGTGTCGTTAAATATGTTAAAGATATTTGAAGATTTGGATGAAATGGGAGTCAAGTTTTTAGACTTGTTTCAAAGGAAAGTCAATAATGACAATAACACTATGTTTTGGAAAGATGTGTGGATAGGCCGAACCACCTTAAAAACATTTTTCATTGGTCATACACGACTGAATTAGAAAAAGAATTGTATGATTATAGACAAAATTGACAAGTCATTCAACTTAGTAATCTCGTGGTACTAGAATTGGTGAAACCATTTAAGAAGAGGAGTGGAATCGAATCAATTGCAGGACCTCATTACACTTCTTCAAGGTCAAAAATATTTTTCCTACATAAAAGTTTCATGGATGTGACTTGGAAGTCCTCAAGGAATCCTTGGGTGGAATCATTTAGAGGGATTATTGAAAAAACATATCAAAATAGTTGTGAGCAAGATGTTTTTTAGGTGAATAATTGGCTTCCGATCAAAGTTAATTGTTTCATGTGAAGATTGTTTAAGCATAAATCATTTAGCCTCTAATTGGCCAGTAGAGGTATTTCAGCCAACTTGGCCTTACACCTATTTTTTCACAAACAAAAGAAAGTTATTATCATTTGTTCTTGGTATACCCACATATGCTTGAAATTTGGAAATGGGTTTTTTATGGTGAGATTTGGGTTGTAGGCCTATTAGATCATCACTCAAGTTGGTGGATATCCAAAAAAATGTGTATCCCCCAAAACTCAAAAAAGAAAAAGCTTATTGATGTAATAGTTGGATTTGTCTTCTGGTTCATCTGGATAGCTAGAAACGAAAACTATTCAAGAAGTTAAGGTTAACTAAAGGTTTTCATAAAACTGTATACATTTTCATAGATTAAACATAGCTTGATTTGACCCTTGTACAATACTGTCGATGGTGCGCATTGGAAGACTTTTTTGATAGGTTTATCACTAAAAATGTATTCCTTAAAGTTCATTGCTATGTAGGGATTTTGATTGTTTCGAGGGTCCGATGAAACTAGAGCTGGTCTAAAGTTTTGTGTGGTTGTTATGATGAAAGATATTAAATATGTTGATGACTTCACTCTGGTGCTATTTTAGGTCTTATTTTTTTTTGTCATGGTCACTATTTTTAAGGACGAATAGTTACTTGAGTACCTTTATAGGGTTTCTTGTTGTATTAGTTTATTGCTTTCCTATTATGTTTTCTTGAGCTTTTGTTTGTAAACTTGATGTATTCACATCCTACTTCCTGCTGGTTGTTCGCTTTTTAATAAATTGCTTGCCGTTGTAAAAAAGTGACCTAAAAATAAAGTTTTGTGTTGTTGGGTGTCATTTTGTCCTATTAAAACCACTATCTTATGGTTTTTATATAAATTATATGTATTATCATCTCTACATAATGCTATCTAATGTTACCTAAATTACCATAACATAAATCATAGCAATTATGGCCTTTGACTAAATTGATATATTAATTAATCATATGAATTTTTAAAAGACTTAGTATATCATGAACCTGTTTTGTTTGTTTTAAATATGGTTCTAAAGGAGTTATTTGGAAGTTAGACTTTAGTATTGATGGTGTTAACAA